CTTTTTGTTTTTGGTTTTTTTTTTTTTTTTCCACGAAGACTTAAGGGTTAGACAAAAGAACAAAGTATTTTCTTGGTCAAGAACAAAAGCTTAAAGATTTCTGTAGCATGGGCATTTAGCTCTGAAATAATTTCACTTATGAGCTTTACTTATCCATTTCAAGCAGTGCTGTCATGTTTTGACATGTCATTCCAAAAGCAGTAGTAAAGCTTCACAGCAGACTTACTCCAGATGTGATCCAAAACAACAGGAAAAGTGAACGTTTGTAAAACACAGCACAGTAATGTGCAAAATGGGCTGGAGAAAAGATAGGTCATTTTTTTGAAGTTGAATGGACAGAGAGCAAAAAACCTAATAACCAGGAAACTGCTTATTAGCCCAAACACCCAGTAGGTTCAGTTTTACTTTMATGTTCAGCGAAACTATTAGATATTTTTGATCTAACAGTGAGGGTTTAAAGAATGAAAAGACATGCACTCTATGGCTGGCAGCTGCTCACTTAGATGTSTAGCTTAATGAGTTGTGCTCTCATGCTGGGATTTGAAGCAGTCCAGCAAGTGAGGCTTCCCTGCTGTGCTTCTCTTTGACTGCATTACACAACCAGCTCTCTTTTATATTTTGATAGTGACATCTATTGGAGCTTTGAAGAATAATATTTTGAAAGAAAAATCCCAATGTATGTTGGTAAAAGCAAAATTGTTGGACAAGAAAAATTTCTGTTCAGACAGATATCTATCTGTCATCAAAACATACACAAGAAAAAAAATGCTGATGCCAAAAAAAAAAAAAAGAAAAGTAGCAGCAGGTCAAATCAGACTCAAGAAGAAAAATGTGCCTTTCTCTTTCTTGATGATGGGTGAACTTAGAAACTTCCCCAGCTGTCTGAAGTTTGTTTAGGAGGAACCCATCAACTAAAGCTGTAACCTCAAAGTGAAACAAATACAATATTTGATTAAATTCCCCATRGATACACACAAGACTTTGAYAAGTATTAACAGAACCAGATCTAGYAGAGTGGGTACGGTAGCAGTCAGYAAAGAGCTGGCAAGCCTTCCTCATGAGCAGTGATGTCTGATGTCAGTGCTGTCAAAGGGGCMCAGCCATCCAGAGTATTTGGGATGAAATTAGCTCTGCTTTTAATAGGCAAGCCATCTTCATGGGTTATRCTGAAAATATGGCTTGTGTCTGTTTAGAGCTTACAAGGGTTCTACACTTTTCCAGAGATGTAAGACTGATAAACAATTAGTAAGTGTGGCCAATGGATTTATTTTGCACTAAATTACCCAGTGTATTTACAATTTTTTTWAAATGTGCATGCACTTTGGACCAGCTCTAGCAGTCACAGTAGACAGTACTTCCTCACAAGATCTCTAGGAGAAATTAGGAGATCTGAAATGTGCAAGGAGAACGTTCTGTGGCAACTCCTCATGACTCTTTCAGGACCTTTCCTTTCTGTTTGTTCCTTATTCTCCTGAGAACTCCCAGAATCCCTTACTGCAAAGTGGAGAAATTCACCTGATTTTCCATAACTCACTTCTCTTCCTACAYATCTGGCCCTTGATGAATATCTTCATATGCAAGTTTCAGGTTCATTTGCTAGAAGCTGTGGCTTTGGAGTTTTTTTCCTGACTTCTATTCTACAATAATATGATAAAGAATTTCCTGTAAAAGAAATAGATTTCTTCAGTACATCAGACTATAGATTTTGCTATGGTTTTATTTTGGWTTGGGTTTTTTGCATATGATTTGATTTCAGTTAATTCTGATTTTTAAGAAAATTTATTTTATCAAGCGACCAAAGGTTTAAATGGGATTTTACTTCTTTGTATAATTTTGCAAATCTTAAGATTTGGTTTTGTTTTATTTATTCTGGTGTGTCTTCACCAGTAGTAATATGGCTATATGCTATTAACTCCATTATGATAATAAACCCACACATCAGTCAGGGAACTAGTCAGGCAGAAAACTTTCTATGAAATGAAAATGTGAAGTGTGGTCTTGGAATAGCAAATGTATTTGACTCAAACAATTTTGGTGTGAAAGTACTTGACAAATATTCAAATAACTTTATTGTCTTCTAAACTGCTTGTTTTTCAAATTTCTATGCATAAACTCCTGAATATAGCACATAAAACWATTTCTAATGCATTCAGTTATTGTTTTCAGATAAATCACATATTCATTTGTCCTGCTGCTGAGGGAGAAATGTTCTATTTTTACAGCCAGTGGTATGTTCTCCATTCTTATTCTGCCTTTACCAAGCCTGCAGGAGAAATAAAATGTTAATGATGTTGTAAAGATACTTTTTAAAATGAAAATATATCCAAATTAATCTCACCTTTATTTAAGARGAATTCTGTCATCTCTTTGGTAATTTTGGATTGTCTGTGAAAGAATAAAATAGGAAGTAATTAAATAGTTTAGTTAGAACATTGTGGCTTCTCTGTGCAAATATCACTACATAAAAATAATCCTGGTTTGTGAAACTGTGTCCATTTCACTTTTATGGATCATTCTCATGACATCAGTTTAGTAAACACTGCAGAGTCAGTTTTCTCCACCAAACARTGCTTTCAAGACAAATGATTGCACAAATGAATATAAAGAGTGAATACTAGAAGCATAAAGTTTCTTTCTCTGAGCTTGAAGATAGATATTCAGGCAGAAATTTATTTAATTGAAATGAGTAAAACTCACTAATATCTCTGCTGGGTACTTAGCAGGTGGGATCACAAGACACAGAGAGATAGGGAAGCCACAAGGTAATTTTATATATGTATCTGCATCTGTTTTCTGGTATGGCCAAGCATTTCTAATATACCTGACTATTATTAACCAGACTCTGAAAAGGTATTTAGACCTCTTCTCTTTTATCATACAATTGGGAGCATTAAGCTCAGAAAGGCTCCAGACTGATTTGCGCAGTGCTGTGCTGATAAGCTTCTTGGAACATTGTGTCCTGAGAGCACAGGACAGAGACATCCTGCCCAAGMCTGTCCTGTCTTATTAAAATCCACCTTCATCTGAGCTGTGACAGAGCACAACTCTGTGCAGAGCCATCGGGGTGCCTGCTGCCTCCCTTTCCCCCTGCTTAGGCTGCAGTGCTAGTTCAGGTGCCTCACTAGATCCATGGTGATGCAAGGTGCTAGAAAGGCTCTGCTTTGAAAAAATACTCCCTCTCAATGGCACCTAAACAGCTTGCAAAAAGATTTTTAAAAGTATTATTATTAATAATAATAATAATAATAATAATAATAATAATAATAATAGTAACAGAAACAGATAAAGAATACAAATACACATGGAAATATCTAAGCATAACTAAATGAATAGTTGTATTGAAAATATACTAGGAGTAAATCTGAAAGAACTGAAAAATAAGAACTCATCAGCAAAGAAAACTTTACCTAGGAAGCTAGACACTAGTGGAGATCAATTGAAAGCTGCAAAACTTTGAGTCCAGAAGCTGTAAAAGGAATGGAAAAATAAATTCAAAAAATATGTTTGCATATCCAAATGAATGCCTTGTTTCAGTTTTAAATTAAGAGGAAGACATAGAATGTGAAAGCAAAATGAGGATGATTCATGAGTTTGAATATAAAAAAAGGAAATAACTCTTGGAAACAAGACTAGGTAAGCTTAATGAGTTCAACTTTGGGCATTATTTAGTGTTCCAAAATAATGAAATAGTATGGATGCTTTCATCCCTGGAGAACAACAGATACTGYACTTCTCTTAGATAAAAGGAGAAAATAATTGAAGTAATTTGATGCTCATTAATCTGACCTTAGTAGAATTCAAAAGCGTTTAAGAAATGAAGAAAAATTWAAAATGTTCAGGTAAATAGGAAACACAATAAAATGCAGCATGGTTAACAAAAACAAGGTCATTTCAGATTAAATTGCCATTTTTCTATGGAATAAGTGATTGTTTTAGACAAGCACAGTATATTTTCACTATTTATCAATACTTTAACAATTATTGCAAAGTTGAGAGAGACTGTGATAAATGCAATAATTTTAAAGTATTTAAGGAAACAGACAAAGTGGATGACTAAACACAATAGGTCTTTTCACCTTCAAGAAAAGCCCTCTGAAAAGGAATATGTGATTTATAAAATCACAAGTAGAAAAGGATGCTCATTAACTTTCTTCAATGAAAAGTTTAGCTAACATCAAATGAAGTTGTTGGTTATTMGGTTCAAAAGAAAATAAGAGTTCACCTACCACATAATTGAGCTGTGMATTTTAGAGTTATAGAATATGTTTAATATAACAAATGTTTATGGAGTTCAAAAATACTTGAATTTATGTAATAAARTCTGTCATGGGTTATTCAACACAAAAATAATATACTTTCCCTAAGCAACAAAAGGGAAATTCCAGTCTCATGCAGTTCACCTGTTCTAATTTTCTTGGAAGAAGCTAATAAAAAGCACCCTGGGAGTTAATATTCGAGCTCTTAGAGATTCAGTCTTGGGGCTATTATTATTTAACTTTTCTCTAATTACCTTGGCACAGAACGTTTGAGTGCAGAAATGAAAATTAGCTGATAAAGCTGAAAGACATGGGGACAGACAGATCTGGATATAGTATAATCTTAAATAAATAGAATAACAGAAATTTAATTGACTCCAGTAATGTGAACAGCAGTGTCATTCACTGAAGGAAGGGCTAATCACAAAAACCTGCTGTTAACTCASAGGACAAGTGGCTGAGGTGGAATAGCTGGGCTTGCCATTCAGTTCCAGGGGACTCTAAAGGATTGAGGAGGGAGGTGGTGTGCAATGAGAAATTCCTTGCTCTGAGGAAAAGACCTAATGCTATTTTTGCAASATGTTGATGAGACCCTCCCCATATTACCTCAGTATTAGATGTAGCTCCAGTCACCTATTTGTAGAAGCAGGCAAAAAGGCTATTTGAAGACTGCAAAAGGACTCATCTTTTTAAGAAATAAAACAAAAGCTAAGAGGCATTGTGATTTCTTTTCCCAGGCTGTAGATTGCATGGTAGCTGGAATTAACAGGGAATTCCTCTTGTTTAGATGAGGATACAGCAAATACTGCATTCAGGCTGATGTAAACGTCTGTCATAGGGAGGGAAGAAGAGTGGAAAATTCTTGCTGTGCGCCAACAGGTAGTCAAAACACGACTGGGATGCACACCAGAACCTGGGAGAATAAAAGGTCAATTTGAATATAACCTTTGAGTCCTCAGGGATTAAACATTAAAAACCAGAGGTTGGTAAACTAATTGAAATACAATGGGGAAAGTAATCATAAAAAAAWWTTAAAATAAAAATTTGAAAGTAGATGTTCTGGAATTGCTTCCTAACATGACCAGTAATAGTATCAGTAGTGGACTGTAGTATCAGAGTTCCTTGTTCTTCCTGTCCTAAACAGAGTAATACATGCATTCTTACACTGTAAAGTAAGAGAAAAATGTGAAATTGAYACTTCCTTTCTTATCATCTCTTGCAAACCGAAAAGCAGAATTATTCAACTAGCTGAAACCTCCCCGAGACTGGGTGTCATCAAACCCAGATGCTTTGAAAGCCCAACTGTGTGGGTGAGTGACTTGACAGGGTGAGGGAGAGWGATAGTGAAGACACAAAAAACACAAGTAGTGAGAAATTAAGATTTCAGATTTTGGGTATCTTCCAGCTTCTATAGTAACTGAGTCACAGAATATTCTGAGTTAGAAGGGACCCACAAGGATCATTGAGTCTCACTCTTGAATGTGAATGGCCCRTACAGGGATTGAACCCACAATGTTGGCGTTTGCTGTTAAGAGGTATCTATTTCCATATATTTGTTATTTTAAATGAAACATTACTGTATTTTAATATTATCACTTTTAACATGCTGAGACCTTGATATTTAACAGCAGATGTGATCAAGATAAGATATTTTGCAGATGTAATTTGATGCTTGCAGCAAGGAGATGTTACTGATGAATGATACACTCAAGTTTACTGAGTGTGATTCCATCATCCTGACACCTAGCATGCTCTTCATTCACAATGGATTTATTCTCTGGTAAGTTTATATTTATATGAGGTTTTAT